TCTGCAGGAAGGTAAAACCGGCTAAGTACATCCGCTATCAATCACCAACGGAGAGAAATCGCCATTTTGAAATCCGTTTAAACAAAGAAGTCTCTAAGACGAATGGTGCTGGTATTTAAGATAGTAATAAAAGCATAAATCTCACAGGAGTGGGACCCGCCCGTATTAACCTAGCTTGAAAAAAAACTTTGCTTTGTCCTGGGGGGGGCTAGCCTGTCTGGGGCTGCCAAAAAAGGCAGCTGAGAAGAACTGGCTGGAGATAAAAGCTCCGCTCCCGCTGGATCTAATCTCTGTCCACAGCCCAAAAAAAGAGAAAAGGCTGTGGATTACGAATAGACCCTAGCATACAGAGCTACTCCCTGCCCCTTTCTTAGCCAAAAAGGGGTGATATCTATGATCTTATTTAGATATACAGACCAGATCTCTGAGAGGAGCTCGGTTGAGCCCTCCTCGGCAACAGGCCACGAGCCCCAGGAAGTCCATGCACACTTGTCTTTAGGAGGCTGAGCTCATAGCTTTAAGGACCCTGCTCACTTCAAGAACCAGGTCCATAAGATTTATACAGTTAGAGTCCAACTCTGGGTAAATCTAAGAGACGTCATCTACTAGTTACCTAATATAGCCCTCAGAATCTTGAATCCTTGACCTTTTTATTAACGAGGATAAACTGGCTGGCTCTCTGCAGACATAATATGGGAGGCAGAATAATTATGTTTTGCTGCTCTTATTATAGTAAGATTATAGCTAAGAAAGACTATTTCTCATGCACAGTACAGTTGTCTCGTTGTTTTTTCCAGCTGCATTCTAGGTACAGTATGCTTCATTATGATTCAGACTTCTTTAAAAATTAGAAAATTCTCCAAGCTCCATGTGCATAAAGTGGATGACTAAGTGGTGTCTAAGACCTCAATTGAATTGTGCACTATAAACTAGAATCTCTGTAAGCAGAGGTTACAGAGGTAGGATAACCTCCTGTATCCTACCATTCTTTGCCCTTCACCACCATAATACCCTCATCTCCCTTATCATCCTAAAATCCCTTGACCCATCTGTTTTCCCTTGCAGCATGAGGGGCTTATTTAGACTTCCATACATGTACCAGGCAGATGGTTCCAGCATTAAATATGCTGGACTCAAGACATTATTGGAATAAATCCTAAAATTAATCTGCCAGATTATGGAGACTGAGCAAGCTAGCTAAAATGCTGGCAGTTTATATGCCCAAGGCTAGCATTGCAGGATTCTTCAGACTCTGTATATAATTCTTTTTACCAGTTGTTCCTGTATTTCATTCATAATATATTTTTTAAAAAACCACACACAAATGGTGGAATGACAATGGCAGCACAATCATTGAAAGATCTGCTTTAGATAGTGAAGAAATTCTTTACTCATCCAACATTCAGAGACTTAGTTCTGTCTTGTGTCAGAAATCAAGGGCACAATGAATTCCATCTCTTGTGCTACACATACCTTTTCTTTAAAAATGTTGTTTCTCCAATTTGTGACTTTTCAATCTTTTTTCCATTCTGCCCATTATTAATCACTATATTGATTTCAAATACTGCTTGTCTCTTTCACTTTGTTTCTCCCAAATCCTTACTCATAACTCTACCTGTTCTATACTACCAAACATGCCAATTGAGGACCGGCTCCTCTTTCTCATCTTGCGGAAGAATTACACATATTAAATATACTTTTGAAACAATGTTTAACAATTCTGCTTTCGCAGGCACAGACATTTCTTCCACAGTTTAAAATGTAGTCCCAAGTTGAGATGATTTCTGACAAATCATTCTAACATTGTTCTTGTGAAGAAGAAGAAAAAATGTTTTGGAATATATTAATGGTTTTGTACTACCCCCAGCCTTTACATACAAAGGAAAAGAAAAAGAAAGAAAATTTTCTTGCTGTAAGAACAACTGCAGAAGTCAACTCACCTTTACTGCTTTGCTTCAGGTGGGTTGGGAATAGGGATCTATTAGAGCAATTCTTCACAGCATAATTAGAGGAAAATGGGGTTTCCTCCTACCTTCCTTCCTTAATTGTTTTTCTCACCTTAAATCTGTCCATGGACTGATAATTTATCTTGCCCCGATTTAGGAGCCAGCATAAAAGTAACTCACTCACTAGGTGGTCTTTTCCCAAGCGTGTCCAGTTCTAATTTTAATAGGAATGCTTTGTACAGTACATATAATTATTAAACCAAGGGCTACTAACTGCAGCAATGGAGCAAAATCTCCACTGTTTTCTATTCTGTTTTAATTACTAAGCCTTAGAGCAATAAAAAGAAAAAGAAAAAAAAGTTTCAAAAGCAACTTGCTGTACAGGCCTCAATAGAGTTAAAGGAAAAACATTTTAAGCTGATGAGTTGACACTTGTAGAAGCAAATATATTAAATAAATCATGATTCGTTTGGGGGGTTAAGGCTGACTTGCATCAACTCTGGAAAAACCAGATCCTTAATGAGTGACAGTTTGGTGTTTTCTGTCACTTCCTACAGTAATGGCCCCAAGCTGACACTGCTCTGTGGGAGTTTAATACTTCTGAACAAAAGTTTTTTTGGAGTGAGATAGACAAGGTAGAAATCCCAAGGTGACTGAAAGGAATGTCTAATGACTGGAAAGACATATTTACCGGCAGTCTGTATGTAAGCTGTGACAGTTGACAGGGCTTGATTGTAATAAATATAGTTGATGAAGAGAGGGCTGACAGGTGAGGACAGCGAGTGAAAAAAGAGTCAAAAGAATCTGCGTTGGCTGAACCTTATTAATGTAAGTTGGTAACAAAGCCCAATGTCATGAAAGTAGATTTGGGGGGGGGGGGAGCCTAAACAGTGAAATACCTCCAATCTCTATAGTGCTGTAACAGGCAACAGTTCGCTGACCTTTTTGTTTTTTGTTTTTGGTTCTTTTAGCAGTTCTTATTTAAGGAATAATTCACACTAGGGTGGGAAGGAAACGTTACAGGTACATAGCCACATACACACAGAGAGATGTTACAATTTAATCCCTCTAATAGAGATTTCTCTGATCAAGATCGCAATTATTTCTTTAGTCTCTTTAACTGTTAGGAGCACTTTGATCAGAGGATATGCTACATCCCACCAGGGCTCTGAACAATGAATTCTGCTTCTGAAATCAGACTCAATCTTCCATTCTTCAAAAGGAAATTAGGCAAAGAGGCCAAGATGCATTTTTTTTTAGAAGTGAAAAGAGTAATTGACTCTGAACATTGAAACTTCTATGGCATATGCCAGGATTTAAACCATAAGTTTGCCATGAGAATTGGACTTTATCTCTTTCTGGGGAAAATAAGGGTATAATGAAAATAAAGAGCCTCCTGTTGGCCATTCCTTATACATTGTATCTGACTTCATTAGACATTTATCACAGTCACCATCCATGACCATATTGATAAGTTTCTATGTTGGGATGTGAGTGTGGGAATGTACACATACATATATGTGCATGTCCTATGTGTGCACACATGTGGAGGGAGAAAGTTCCTTTCCTATTAGGTGCTAACTGATTACTCTTCAATGGAAGCAGAATCTCATACATATAGGAAAGCAAAGAAAAATTAGAAGATTGTAATATGAAGGTTAATAAGGCACAAATGATCTTAACATTCATACTGGCTATTAAACATGGCATCTAGTCTCTCCAAAGGTATATTCATCTAGGAAATCTGCATCTGATATAGTGGCAGGATTTACTTATTCATTTTATATAATGTAACTTTTAAAGCAACATTTCTGCTTTAATGACATCTGTGAAATATCTATTAAAGATAGCAATTCACAAGTTTGTGACTTGATAGCACCATATTTACTGCCACAAAATGTATTGAAAGAAGTGTTCTTTTTTAAAAAAAAACAAACTTAAAGTGAACACATGACAAAGTCCCAAATAAAAACCACAATGTTTAACTTCACTTTTTAAAACATTTACTCTGCTTTGACTGTTATTTTTCTACACGTCAGTTTCAAGCAACTTTGCTGAATACAACAACCTTCTAATAGTGCTTGTGTGCAAAAAGTCAGTCCTCATCTTGGAAGACATGAAATAGACATTGACAGTATGCACACAGCCTGGTTTTGATTCCAAGTCTAATTCTACAGTCTCCTGTAGTATGTCATTGATTCTATCAGCCAAATATGTATTCTGATGCAGATTCCAAGTCAATCCACTTTTTAACATATTGAAGGGCAAATTTACTCTTGTCTCTGATACATGTTCTTGACCTGAATACATGCAAGCATTTTCTGTCTTTGTTATGAAGAATAATGTCATCTTATTTATTTACAAAACTATAAAGAGTTTCAATTTGAAAGATTCTAAACAGTGTACAGGAGCAAAAGCAAATCCTATTTAACAATAAAATAAATGCAAGAATTCACAAGGACACTCATCCCATAGCTAATTGTAGTAGAGTAAGAATTACACTCCCCAAACTAGGAGCTCCAGTATACTCCATTCCCCAAGACTTTTTGGAAGAGCTAAATTGGTGCAAGTTTCTGGAAGACTTTGAGGATTGAAGATACATTTGCTGGTCCAAAGAGGCAGAGCCCGCTACAAAAAATTTGGCCTGTTCCCATTGGATCTCTTTGTAGTGGGAGCTTTCAGCAAAAATGGGTTGAGAGCAGCATATATGCTAAATATGGGGGCATGATGAAACAAGTGTGATGCAAGCTCTGCCCCTTTTGTACAAAACTTGTGATGTCAGATGGCAAAAATTTATTATGTGATGGAGCAACACTCACTTAGTCATTTTAATGACAGCATTAGATCATGCTGATTTGTCTGTCCTGAACTAAATAAGGCTGCTAATCAGTTACATTCATTAATCTGAAATATAAATTCAGAGTATGATTAAATTATCATGCTGGAAAGGACATACACACACACATGCACATCCACACACACACAGTATCTCTGCTTTTTATATATGTCATCAAATCTTCATTTGATTCTGTGCATAATGTTCTATGTATTACATTATATTTCCCCTTTTTCTGGGAAATCAGCAATCCTTTTAGAAACAGAAATAGCATGTTACTATTCCTATGGGCTACTGCAGAATACTGTAATCAGGGATAAATAACACATAGCTCTTTATATATTGATAAACTATTTTTCATTGTGTTGGTAGGAATCTCTAGAAAGAAAGTTAATGGCAAGCCACATGGTTTTCTCACCATAGAAAACCATTGTTTGGTATGTATAGAAGAACATTCTATGCCACCCAGAATGTCTTTTTATGAGATGGATGGCTATATAAATTAGATTTATAGATGATACATAGATGATAGATAGATAGATGATAGATAGATAGATAGATAGATAGATAGATAGATAGATAGATAGACAGACAGATATATGATAGATAGATAGATAGATAGATTGATTGATTGATTGATAGATTGATAGATTGATAGATTGATAGATTGATAGATTGATAGATTGATAGACAGACATATGATAGATAGATAGATAGATAGATAGATAGATAGATAGATGATAGATAAACTGATCAATTCATCTAAATATTTTCCTTTGATTTTTCCTTTCTTATTTTTAGCTATCTATGATTTCCTGTTCTTTCTACTGCTTTGGAAGTGATAAAATGGCAAAAGATATGCTGTCTATGTTGCTTCCGACAGCATCTGTTTTAAATTTCAGCAGTAGTTCTATTCATTGATCTGTTTGTGTGAATGACCTACTTTGCTTTCCCCCTATGATTGCTTCTATCAAAGTTTTCCTATCCCAAACATTATTCTTCTGTCTGTTCTTTCTATTCTGTGAAAGAACAAATTCTACAGTTGATCCCTGGAACTTTGAGAAAAGGAAAGGTAAAGACTGAGGTGGTAGCATTGCTAAAATAGTTCTCTGATTAAAAGTTCTCTGACACTGAATCTTAAAGTCCACTTAAATTGAGGCTCCAGGTGCCTGTAATTTGTGCCTTCCATTGTCATAGTTCTAGTTAATAGTTCATGGGGATGGATAATTCAGATATAAAATAATAGATAGGGCAGGTAAGCATGTGCATATGTTTCTAGCACAGTATATTTCCATTACATTTATCAGGTATATATTTATTAGATTTATAAACTCCATTTTTCTTTGAATTCAAGATAGTTTACATAAGAAACTCTCCTGATTCTACTCACATAGCATCCTGATCAAAATCACCCAATGAGCTTTGTGGCTTGTGCATTGCCTCTTGTCCAGGTCTATTTCCTAACCATTACATGCAAGAGAAGTGTACTTAAACAAAATATTGACTTGTTCTATATAACTGAAATATAAGAACTAATTTTGAAAAGTGATTATCTTTTAAGAATTGGGGGTTAAGTAACTGAATGAGTTTTTTTCTTCCAGAGATAAATATTGTATAATGTTGCATGCTACTGAATTTGAATAATTGTGATTGACAAGCAAACTATTTAATAAGTCTTTAAATCTGTATAATTTAATAGCAAGAATGCTTGATTTATGTATATCACATTCTGGGATTTAGATGTTTAAACATGTAAGCAAGAAAACAGGGGGGGAAATCCTTCAGTGTATGATGGAAGTTAATGCCCAAGGCCTCAGCTACATTACTACTGTTGTTGTTGTTATTATTATTATTATACAATTGTATCACAGCGGCCAGTTGTTTCGCCGGATTTGGCATTGGTTACTAGTCGGGCCCCACCCAAGTTGTTGTTGTTGTTGTTGTTTTATTATTATTATTATTATTGTAAAATTGTATCACAGCGGCCAGTTGTTTCGCCGGATTTGGCATTGGTTACTAGTCGGGCCCCACCCAGGGGCC